TACTATGTTATATCGAATGAGATTGATAAATTTTTCGTTAGTCTACACATTTACTATTAAGATAAAGTCATATGTAAATGAAGATAAGATGTGTTACAGCATAACATAATTGGCTTGCCATGCTAGCTACGAAATATGACCCCCCTTAAGCCATAAAACCATCTCCCCATTTTTCCCAACCCATCCAAGTGGCGGGAATTTTTCCTCTTGTATTTTCTGCAGACACCACTAGCAATATTTAGAACTTTTAACGCGGAGGGAAACACATAAAAAGTTATTAGAAATAATTGGATGTTTTTACACACAATGCTACCGTCCCTTAGTACTTTGAGTGTATGTATCTACATGAAGTATCTAGCGTCCCATCATAATATATTGCGTGTAGTATCGATAGCGTCAAGTGAAGAATGTAATTGTTAGGTAGCAGGCAGGATATCGTCTTTTTTGCTGCTAATTAGAGTGAAGAAATTCGAAGCAGTTCTAGATTATGCGTTGTACATCGTTCGAAAGGTCTATTTACTCTCTGAACGTTTAAGCGAAGGATGCGTTTTAGGGAGTTTCACGCAAATCTTATCCAACTTTGTATATGTCCTGGCCTGAATTTGTAGATCTCCTTTATTGTGTTATTTTGCTCTACGAGTTTTACTGTGCACAAAACCGTCATAGATATTAAACGTTGTTTTGAAAGTTGCGAGAATTTCGATATTAACATATATGCCGGTGAAATCCGATCTGATCCTCATCTGTGGCCTGGGTTAAGGTGCTCTCGATGCGTAGACTGGTGATCCTATTCCTATGACAACATATACAGCTATGCTCTCAATGTGTCCCCAGTAGGCTAAATCTGGCATTTTGCAGGCTGCTGCATTTACTATATAAGCTGCTTCTGGCAACGCCCACCGTAGCAGTTTGCATTTATATGACTGCAGCTAAATTAAGCATGCAGTTCCTGTCATCCGAAGACCAACCTGTCATCGTCCATGGTTTTCTTCATGGTCGCAAACCAAAGACCGGCATATATACGACTTCGTATTCATACCTCGACCGCTATGCACTTCCCCTTTTCTGCGAGTGCTTCAAGACGACGACGCGATATATAACAACAAACGACAGGACTAAAGCCGACATTACGGCTACTACACTGTGAAACACGGAAACATTATACCGAGTATATATTATGCTGTATGGCGTTTGTAGGTAAAAACAGGACAAGCATAGACACTGGCCGAATTTTTTTTTCAACAGACATCCCTTTTTCATGGCATCTCTTCCTGATGAAACAAGTCCTAGTCTGAAACGAATGAACGCTCCTTCTGAGTCGCCACTTTTTTCCTACTCTTATTTCTACCTGCTTAGGCACAGCGGAAGCCTCAACCATCTCAGCCAAAAAAACTCATGCCACTAGTGAAAATTCCAACACATGCCAGAATAAGACAGTATCTATACGTTGGCACTTTTCTAGCTAAAAGTTTTTTAGCCACTAAAAGCTAAGGCATAGCTGGCTATGTATGTAAGCGCAGGTGTTAGCCTAAAGCGGCAGAACGAAACCAAAACTTCCCTTTCTATTTTTTGTATTCGTTCCAGCTATCCTACCATACTTTGCACTATCTTACCTGCTATCGTTTGTCTATGTCCTACTCGGTCGCAGTAAATGCAGAATTGCGGCCCTTCTGTCCTGCCTATCCCTCATTATCTACTCGTTGGCTGGCTTTTATTCTCTAGACAAATCAGGCTGAACTCGCAGATCACTGCAGCAACTGACATAGCTGTCATTACGAACGATTGGGCGATGCTGGTTGTGAGTGGAGTAACGATGATGGCAGCGAAAAATGACAAAGTCCGACGCCTCTTGCCATCGCTGATGCCTATAGCCACTAACGTTGTAACCTCTCATCGGTCCTAGGGCACGTTTTCAATGTAAACCAGGATTTTCTAACTGGTCAATGTAAGATGGAAAGCGTCGATGTCCTGTTTCCGCTACAGCAGACTTGTTGTCATCCAATTCCAGCAGTTGGTGATTACCATTATTACCCCCTACATACGTATCGTTGCTGCGGGTGTAGCAAAACAAGAGGCATACAGGAAACCACAGCGCCAATGACAGCACAAACAAATCATTTATATTTTTGTTTTTATCTTAGGTTGTTGACATAAATAGTCATCAAACAGATTGTTGCCATGTCATATTTGAAGTGTATGTACATTCGCAGCGGACGAGCTTCGCCCTTCTGTTGTGGGTGGCATACGAGTACGCGATTGTAGATCATGTAGTCTTAGACTTATGCAGAAATAAACAATAAATATGCTTCTTTACTTTGTGATGAGGCATCGATGATCTTTTGGTTCGAACCCCCTTCACCGCCCAGTATCGATATAGATATTTGTTAAAATGTCCAGAACGCATTATTGAATTAGCTTCTAGCAAATTCTATTTTAACTCATCTCGCTGGGGATAGCCGTTACCGCTTCTGCTCTTTGTGACGACATTGTAATTACACGTCTTAGCTCGAGAAGCCGCTGCCGCCGCAGCAGCAAGCATGAGCTATCCATTGCTTAATGTGGGAAGGTTGCTAAGGCGAAGGAACCCTCACTGTCCTCGTGACATCTAGAAATTGCAGAATCAAGCATGCAGGACAGCGTATTTAATGTCAAACTTACACGCTGCCCCTTTGGCGAGTTAGCTCACTGTTTGCACGTATAGAGCTGGCTACGGTCGCAGTGCCAGATGACCGCGCGTCGGCTGCCATATTGAGCGTTCTATGAGTAGGCTCAAGTAGGTCAGTCTCCCGTCCAGCCGATCCGCGGGAACAGAGTAAGGACTAATAGTTATTATAATAGTATTAAGAGAAGTAATAGTACTAATTAATAACTAATTTGTAAAGTAAAAGCCGTAGCAGTTTTAGCCGAAGTGACAATGTAACAAATGTGAATAGTGAGGTATTTTCTATTTCGTGTGAGCAGTGGATGAGTTGCATCATTGGCGTACATTTGCAAATCTTCTAACCATCCCCTATGCATGTTCAGCCGTTCTTTGTCCCTTTTCTATGCATGCAATAAGTCGTCTTTCAGCTCCACTCGTCTATCGGCGTCGTATTTTAAGACGGCTTTGCTTGTCATCGTCGCTACCGACAATGAGCGCAACAACCAGCAAGCGTCGTAAAACCGGTCAAAATGACCATTCCTTTTTTGTTACAAGAAAAGAGGTCGCCATGATGATAACCAAGACCCGTCGTCGAGTCATGTCAGAACAGTGCAGGAAAGAAAGCTGAAAAAAGAAAGCACGAAAAAAAGAGGGAAACTTCACCTCGCAGCGTCCGCGAACTTGCAGCAAATGAGAGACGGTAACTGCAAAAAGAAAAAGAATTACTTGAGACGCACAATTCAGCTCGTAAAGATAGTATGTCGTTACATTATACTGCGATGTCTACTTGAAGTTTATTACGTCGTGCTTTTTTTACACATGGGACCGCATCCGAGTAGCACAGAACGGGGTAGAACAGAGTTGTGGGTCTTCAGTGAGATGTTGCTGCTGCTGTTGTTGACTTCGGTCACTGTTCCGGCAGAGCTTTTTCACTCTCATTTTTTCTCTTATTCTGTAAGACATGCGTACGTATGCAGCAGGGCGTGCAAGTTACCTCACTCATTGTGGGTTAGCTCGATTTGCATGGACGCAGGCAAACAGACAAGCGGCCATGAAAAGCCTGTTTTGGCCTACCTTGACCATTTGCAAACCAGCTGGCCACTGACTTTAATCGGTGGCCATCACTACGTTTACCCCTTTCTTTAGGCATGCTTATGATATGGAGATACAACATGGCTGGGTAAAATCGCGAGCCGATAATGGTGCTATTTTGCTCGTGGCCTGCTGCTAGTTGGACCATAGCTATTACATTTAGTCATATAGGCACATAATCGTCCCTGGATGTGGCGTGTATTACCTAACTGTTTCAACAACAAGTTACGACGCTGACCGACGAAAACTATTTATCCAATAAATTGTTTTGCTAGGCGATTTATCGGCCAAGCGAGCTTCTTTTTTTGGACGCTACTAAACCTACGAATATGACAAGGCCGTACCATTTCCACATATTCGAATGTATATATAACCTTGCATTTTTTTTATCCGTTTTTTACTTTGATTATTTGACCAACGAAACGCTTACAATACGCAAAATGTATCGTTTTATGTCCTTCTTGGCGCTGATTTTTGACTTTAACTGAGATATCGATCTGTGAAGTGATTTTACCGCAACCGCTATAGCGGGTAAAATTGTAACACTGTCGCTGTTTATACAGTTGTATTACGGTAGCCATAAAGATTTTCAGCTGATCTGAAGTAAACTGGGTGTACTATTGTAATCCTTGCGGGCTAGAGCTGGATGAGTATCAGGGAAAAGTAGATCGAAAAAGAAAATCATTCTCGAGTAAGGACGGCACGCTCTTTTAGCAGTGATTTACGGCTTGACTCGGCATGTCTGCGTGTATATAGTTGGGTTATTGATTCCCCTTTTCTGCTGTTCATTGCCGATCGAATATGGGGCCGCTTCATATACGTCATCTCACGGGAAACGCGGCTGTTGATCGAACAAATGGTCCAATCGAGTACTTCTTCTCGTGCGTTCATTAAATTTATAAGTCCGGTTTCCTTAGGCAAAAAACGTACGGAAAGAAATCTTCAATTAGACACTATGAAGCCCAAATGAAAATTAATGGCCGAAGTACGATTTATTAAAAAGTGAATAAACGTATTAATAGAGAAAAAGATCTCATGTTTCAACTGGGCAGTTGTTAGTTGATTAATGAAACTTGTGCGAATGAGATGCTACCAAGAAAAAGCACCGAACCCCATCAAGTTGCGCGCACCTAATTACAGTGGGAAATCGGTACTTCGCTTCGGGTGCGATTGAAGCTATAGCAGAGACAGGCACATAAAGGCACATTAGGATCAAATAAATGCAAGTAATCCAATATATATAAACAACACTGGGCAAACCACTTACGTGCCTCTGGAAATGAAATTACTTGGACACTGCTCGACGACGGCGGCGACGAAGGGTGCTGCGTTGATCAATCTAATTAATTACCTGAAAGCAGTAAGCTGAGTTGTTAGAAGGAGATTCACCTATATATCTTCGAATAAGGAAAAATGCAACATAGTTAGCGGCAAAGAGATTAAATTGTCCGATTTGGACCTAATCAGCTCACCAACCAGCAAGGACAACGTTCCGTCTCCTATGTGAACTGGCCTAGATGGGACACAAATTACGGGACCTGAAGAAAATACATGTCCGTATCTTATTATACATGTTGCACGTATCAATCTATGGCGCGGGCATGATAGTAATGGTCTCAATCTATCTGTCTATCTACGATGCATCGCTGCCCATCAGCAAACACCACTCGCTGATAATAAAGCCAGTGAAAGAAGAAGGAACAGTTGTTACAGTATTTGGCCACCATTGTTGTTATTCTATATAGGGGCATCTACCTGGCCGTCCATTGCGAATTCGACAGTAGCTCTTAATCCGTCAATGAACTGTCCAGATCAATAGGTTGCACACAAAGTCTAAACCAGGTTTACGGTGACTCGTTATTTTTAACGTTTAGGGCACCGTGTTGCTTTGGCATAAGCACCCAATGGCTAACTCATTGTCGGCCAATCGTAACCTTCATATATGTATGTATCTAAACAAAGATAGCTGTTTCAATATGTACGTCATCTGCCTGCGTTACCGTCGAATCGTGCTCGTAAGCCAGCTAAGTCCACGTGTTTATGCGTCCGGTCATCTGTTCGATCAATCAATCGATCGACCCCGCAGTCCAGTGTTACGTCCTTGTTTTCTGAATCCCTTGCCAGGGCCGGATTGACATTTTTTTTGGGCACACATACGTTAGATGTGCATCGTGCGTGCGGGAGCTCAGGACATGTGGCCAGACGGGAAAGCGTTGACCTTTCTCGTTTTGTTTTTCTTTCCTTTTCTCCTTCAACCTTGGCTACTTATCACTCTGTTTTTTAAGCAATTTCTGCGGCCGCGGACCGATGGACTCACATACACGCACACAAGCATACAGAGACAGCATCCCATCTTTTAGTCATTGGCTTGTATCTCCGACTGTCCGTCGATAGTTCATTTGCTAAGAAGGACCTTCCTGTCATTTTTCATTTCCCCTGTTATTACCCTTCCTGTAGTACAATTGCCCTAGGTCAACCTGCTCAGGACAAAATAGGAAAGCTTGAACAATAGCAAAAAAGAGACCGTCCGAACAGACGAACCCCGGTGAGTCCAGGGAACAGCTGGCGAAGATGGGTCGAAAAGATAACTCGTTAATGAAACAACTGTTATCCCAATAAGGTTAAAATAAAATAAATCCAAACATCAGTTGCCGAAGTACCCGCAGTAGCGGTAGAAGAAGAGCGAAACAATAACAGCATCAACAGTTTCATTGAAGAAAAAATACCCATAATATATAGCCAACAGCGACAGGAAAAGGCGGAAGCCAAAGGACGAATCCTTGCAGATGTGCACCAACTGTTGTGCAGGATAAGCAGCAACTGCACGGTTATTGTTAGTAGGTCGCAGGCATGCGTGAAAATGCTGTGTATTAATTACTACTTTCATTGCGTAGGGAGTGATGTTTTTATCGATAGATAGCTCAACTGTTTAAGTTGCTGCTTCTAGAACTAATAACAACTACCCAAGTAAATTTTTAATTTTCCATATCTTCATATAAGCACTATTAACAATCTAGAAATGTTCGTGCATAGCAACCGCAAACAAAGGAATGAGCTAAACTCATCTCAAAATATGGTGCTACCGCAAAAACTGAACAAAAACTATATAATTTTACCGGGGTTCAACTAACAAAATCCTGCGATTCCTAGCATTAAAAAAAACGATAACTTATCTTTCATATAAAGAAAAAAGTCATTCTGTTTGTTTTAGCGAACGTGGACTGCTGCCCTTTTCGACCAAATCTATCATGTTATGTATAGCTTTATGTATAGCAAATATTGCCAGCCTATCTTCACGATTATTTCAGTACCTGTCTTCGTTATGAAGTCGTCTTGCGTTTTGGCCGTCTGCCCCTCAACCCTGTTCTCTCAGTTATTCTCATACGATTGATACCGGAGTCTCGGTCCCCTCACCCCCTTGCTCCTGTCGTTGCTTTTAAGTTGTGGTTATTGTTGTCATCCCGTCTTGTCATCTGCGTCATCTGCTTCGTCTCTCGAGAAACGTTAAGGTGCAGCGTTAATATGCACCCAATCTGAGGTACGCCAGTCGAGCGCACACGATCACTGCTGGTCGTTACTGGCACTTCACTATTCTTCGTATTCTTGACTCTGCAAAAGATATATATATATATGTAATCTAGCTAGAGACGCAATAGTTATATAACTATTGAACACGTATTTGAAACTATATACTCGTAACAGCACCGTCGATTTACGGTCCTTGTTAACAAATACAGAAAAGACGACGACGAATATGAAGACGACGCGGATGACAACAAATGACAATAGCGGCAGCGACGATTGTAAAGACGGCAGCGATATTAAGAGCTAGAAGGAGGAAAAAGCGGCGGGACCGAAAGGGCGGTCTTTTAAAAACGGATAAAGGGAAGCTGGAATAAAGAACGAGAAGAAAAACAACGATCGACTTTTTAGCTACTTGACGGTCCTCAGGTGCCTCACTTCTTTCCAACCCCTTTTTGTGTTGACAACCACATGGTTGTCAGCAAAATCTCTCCTTTCCGAACAACCGCGACTCAGCTCGCCGAGTTACAACGAAGAAGTGATTTGGACCCCGCTGGTTTCCAGCGCTCGAACCTACGGCGACTCGAAGTGTCGCTATCGCCGTCGGCACCGCAACGTCTGTCTTTATTCCACTCTGTTACTAGGGTCCGATTATTATTATTGGCGTATGAGTCTGCTGTTCTGCGTAGACACACGACCCGCCCTCGTGTCTTCTTTTCAAATAAAAACAAAACACCTATAGAAAACGATGCATAAAGCTATCGCCCTTCCTTTATAGTCGCATACAAGCATAATATAATGTAATGCTACAACAAAGGACGAACGCATTGCAGCAGCGGCGACGAATTCACTGTGCCCCTGAACCCACCTCAACGCGCCCTTCTTGTAACCCTATCGAACTCCGAACAATGACTAAGGCAGGATACTTAAAACAGCGAAGAGCACCTGGCTACCAACTGCCAAACAGAAAGTAACGCCAAGGACTGCTAGCAGGGACCCAGCGGCAGCCGACTGTAGCGCAGGATATGACTATGAGACTAGACGCGTCGCCGTTATACTAGTTTGCTGTTGATTTCGTTCGTCGCGAGGTTTTTGTGGCCGAAAACGACGACCACGGCAACAACAACAACAACTACCGAAGTACCGCCGACTACTGCGACATCGGCCAGATATATGTCTGCGCTGTACTGCGACAATGTTATAGATCGCAAACCCGCGCATCTGACATCCCTCTTCAGTCGAGTTCCATTCGTATGAGTATAATGAATAATTGAAAAGCACCTCCACAAACGGCACAGATAGATATACGGAACGAACATGAAGGCGGTAGCAGCGACAACCCGAATGCTCTGGCAAAAGAGAAATAGAAAGAAAGAGCGCGAGAGAGAGATAAACAGGGACAGTTGCGGAAGAACCTTCACCTTACCCCTTGCTTGTGCTTCACTGTTGCCATCTTGCGCAATTTCTATAGCTCTGTGAGCCTTCGTCATGTTCGCAGCATCGCATGCTGCTTCACTCCATCTTGCACACGCTATACTGTCAGCCGTCAACAAAAACAACCATAGCTACCGGATACCAGCATAAACTCCAAAAGCGGTAACGCAGTCTTGAAAGCATTACACTGCAGGCAGAGAACGTAATAGAAGAACTCAACGACACCTGCCCAACCGGAAAAGTGCTTCAGTGGAAATGCTGGACGGCAGTAGAGCGCACCAGGCGAAGATAAGATAGGACAAACAGAAGAGAGCAGAAAGAGAAAGTATTTGTGCATCCCGGGACGCAGTACGATACGCGGTAGAAGTACTACTAGGTTAGTAAGAAATATATATTCATTGAGATATCTATAGCTTAGCATTGTGTATAGACGGTCTGGCGGAAAATATACCTCAAATAGGTGATCGTTTTAGGCCATGTTAGGGTGGAATGGCTAAAGGGCATAATGTATGATGTCTGTTGCCGAAAGGTTACTAAAGCGAATATAATTGATGGATAAATTGGAGCAAATTATGGGCATTGCTTAGATCCAGTCTGGGGCCCTGGTTGGGCTAAGTCCTAGCAAGATGAAGCAAAGTAACAATTAAGCTTAGCTTCTTTCGACACCGCTGTGCATAATGTCTATTGGGTAATTCTGTCTTTCTTGTTCCACGTGTCGCTCGCCAGGGGCGTTAGTTATTCAAAATTATACCAAAAGCAACCTAAAGAGAAAGAAATGTTTTTTCGTGTTTTTCTATCAAGTTTCCTCCTTTAATGCACGGAAGCCAAAATAATGCCAACATGTATATATGTTGACATTACCTTGGGTAATATCGTCTCATATCATGGCTCTTAAGAAATTGTTTACGTGATGCTTCCGTGGTAGCTCTGAACTTCGTTTGAAAGCTGTGTCGCGTATCTAACTGCAATATAAATAGGTATTTGAAGGGAATTTAGTCGAGAATCTAACTATACTGAAAATGCTCCTATTTAATTAAGCGTACAACAGTGATTATGGAATGTTTTGTAACGGATCCATACACAACCACGTTAGACATTGGTTGATCTATTGACGTATACGCTATGGCGGAACACAAACTGCGTGTATGATCAGGGTGTGCAAACAAAAGTTATCTATCTTCTTATCGTAGTCGTCGTTTTAAATTTTACGAGAAGCGTAGATGTACACACACATAGGCACAATTGAATTGATTTACTTGACTGGCTAGATGATGTCTGACCGGGCATCAGAGTGAATAATTTATTGCGGTAAAATTTAATCTTTTTTCCACTCTAAAGTTGGCAACCCTTGTACAAATACAATGAAGAACGTTGTATCGAATAGAAGCGTGGTTG